AGCCTGCATGGTTACCTGTGCTGATGAGCTCTCTGTGGTCACCTGTGCTCTCCTGTGCTGGGCAAACAGGAAATGAAATTCAAATGTTCGCGGGGCTTTTCCTGTCTACCTGGCCAGTGCATCCGAGTTCAGATTGCTGTCCAGAGCGCTCACAATGGTGCACTGTGGGATAGCTCCCAGAGGTCAATACCATCAAATTGCGGCCACAGTAACCCTAATTCGAAATGACAATATCAATTTCGGCGCTACTCCGCTCGTCGGGGAGGAGTACAGAAATTGATTTTAAGAGCCCTTTATTTAGAAATAAATGGCTTTGTTGTGTGGACGGGTGCAGGGTTAATTCGATTTAATGCTGCTAAATTCGAATTAAACTCATAGTGTAGACCAGGCCAAAGTGATTAGGTTAAACCAGTGCAAACCCCTGTGTGGACACTCTTAAATCAAGAAGGAATCAACTAAAGCGACATTAAAATAAGCCATTTCCAAGTCATTTAAGAGTGTCCATATAGGGTTTTGCACTACTTCATTGAAACCAGTGCATGTGTCTGTATAGACAAACCTTCAATTAATTCACTACCAACAAACTTTGTTACTGGGCAGTTCAGGTTGCCTCGGCTGTGCCTTGTACCCTTCTAGAGCACAGAAGTTGGCAGCAGAAAACTGGATTCCTCTGAGAGCCAGGAAACACACCCAAAAAAAACAGACATTAGATAACAAAGAAATGTAGGGTTAAGGTAATGCCTTCTGCCCCAGATCACACTTTTACTGATGAGCTAAACTGAAATAAAATGATCTTAATCTGAAATAAGGCTTCAATTTACCCGAAGGTGTGAATTCAAACTGATTTAGTTATTTCGGTTGCAGCTGGTGTGCAGAGAAGGCCTTATGCTGTTTAGAAATTTCACACAAAAGATCCTCTATGGAGAGGTAGAGAAGGGATGTATGTCTGGAGCCTTCCCCGCTCAGGAATCTTTTTTTTTTTACTTTATTTTTATTGTTTTTATATAAAATGTAAACACATAATGAACAAAACATACATACAAATAATGCAAAACATGCACTGGATCACTGGTTCTCAAACTATTGTACTGGTGACCCCTTTCACATAGCAAGCCTCTGTGCGCAACCCCCCCTTAAAAATTGAAAACACTTGTTTATATATTTAACACCATTAAAATGCTGGAGGCAAAGCAGGGTTTGGGGTGGAGGCTGACAGCTCGTGACCCCCCATGTAATAACCTTGTGACCCTCTGAGGGGTCCCGACCCCCCAGTTTGAGAACCCCTGCACTAGATGGAAATAGCATATAAATAACAAAATACCACCTTCATTATTTCCAAATCTGGGGAAAAACAAAGCAAAAACAAACAAAAAAACTTGAACCCATAGAGGTCATGCAGGGCATCAGTAATTAAAGTGACTTGTAGCGAGGGGGTGTAGCCTCACTCCAGGCCTGACAGGGAGAAACCACCACCCACTCCCTGGTGGGTGGAGCCTGGCAAGACACAACCATGCTGCCGGAAGCAGAGGGGCTGAACAGAAATTTAAAAGGTGGGCGCTGCAGCTCAGTTGGGCTGGAGATGGTGAAGGAGACGGATGCCTCCCGCCCACTGCAGGGTCTTGCACCCAAGAGGAACCTCTGCAGGACTGAGGACTCGAAAGGACTGCC